CAGTGTCTGATCTCCCAGGTGTCTGTGTGAGCCCTGTATTCTTCTTTTGGTTTTTCTTCATTTGTGCAGATTTTTCCTCCCTACTTTTCCCTTCCCTCCACTTCCCCATCTTCTTTAATTCTGTTATTCAGGGGTGGAGGGGTTTCTTTTACTTCTGTTTGCTCAGTCTCCTATTCTTCCTTATGTATTTCCTCTTGCTTTGTTCAGTTCTGGAGGTGGACTGTAGGTTGAGGGCAGTCCTTTTTGTAGTTTTGGGATTTAATTAAGGGGGGAGCTGTGATTCAAAATCTCTCTGTAGATCCCAGTATCCGCCAGCAGCTGTATGAATAGTCTGAAACCCACTTCTCACTGCCTTGGAGTCTGTCCATGCAGTGGGGTTGTAGGGTTACTCCCTGAAAGCAAAATGAGGTTAACAGAGGGAGGAGAATAGAGCAGGCACTGAAGGGAGGAGGGAGGTGGAGAGAGAGGAGTGAGAGGGAAAACAGATGAGTCTACCGACTGGTAAGTGAAAAGAGACACAAAGACTGAAACAAATATAAAGAAAAACAATAGCCATAACTAAAAACGAACCAACAACCATATAAAAAACTAAAACATTCAATGATGGTAACCTACACTCTGACCAACCTTCTTATTGGAGTGCTATTCCTCTATATAAAGATGGGTTTACAGAGAAATAAGAAAAAAGGAAAAAAGAAAAAAAAAGGGAAAAGGGACAGATTAAAGTCAGTAGACTAACTGAACCAACCAAACATACTCTGAGACTTTTCCTTTAAGTCCAATGTCCTTTCAGCTCTGTTTTCTAGCTGTCTTTGCAGGCTGGTAGACTTGTTCACAGTTAGTGTCAGTTGCCCCTGGCCTTCTGTGAAGAACAGTTCAGATATGGGCCCCCTGCCCAGTCTATTACTGAGATCTGCCTTTGTCTCTTTGTCAAGAGGGAAGAGCCTCTGTCATTCTCGTTTTGATGTTGTTACCTTGGATCCCCAGCAGGTGGTGCTATCTCACCACTGCAGTTCAGAGGGGAGTGAGCTGGTTATGGATCCATGACAGATGGCAACAACTTCCCTGTGGTGTGGGGGGTTCCACAGGCCTGCCCCTGGGGAAGGGGTGTGGTGTGGCAGTGGATTGGCAGTGGCAGCAGCAGCCGGACGTCAGTGATCTCAGAAGATCCTGCTTGCAGGGGCTTCACAGTCTGAAGTCGTGGGTCTCCTCAAGCATGGGCTGGCAATGACAGCAGCAGCGGCATCCGCAACTACGGGAGCAGCCCAGACTGCCATCATATCTGAGTAGTGATGGTGGTGGCAGTGGCGGCTGAGCTCCCTGTGAAGAGCAGGCTGCAGAAGATGGGAGCTGCATCCCTTGGGAGGGAGCTAGGGCCTTTATGAGTGTTCTCTTTCGTAGAAGGTCTCACAGACCATGCTGCCCCGTTGCCATGTTGCTGGAAGTCCTCATTTATATTTCATCTGTCCCATACTTCCTGAGTCCCAATTCCTATTGAGCATGCAGGTCCTTGACCAAAGTTACTTCATCTTGAATATTATCCATAAGTACTGGAGAAAAGCCCACTCAGAGGGGTAAAACCTCAATGATAATGCTGTGTTAATGACAAAATAAGACAAGGTCAAGTTAGGACACTTAGTTAAGCTATTGTGTCTGTATTTAAGCAGCAAAAAGTCCCTTTTAGCAGCCCATCCTGGGTTGACAGGATGTTCTTAACCACACTAACCATATTTTCAGTCACCAGTTATATAGTATGGTGGTGCAGGGGGGCATTTTTGCAGGTGTTAAGACAGAGACTTTCCATCTCTTTCCGCCTAACCAGCTTCTGATTATCTCCTCACTTTGCCACAGCGCAAAAGAATCTTGAACTGGAAAGCCAAACATATCTGGGAGCTCAAATACAAAGAAAGTAGAGCTTGAATTCAAAAGTGACTTACAATTTCCTGGTTCAGTGAGGAAGACATAGGAGCCTAAATGAGTCAGCAGACACCTCACCTGCACCCCTCATGGGTCATGGGGATTTGACAGAAATCTTCAGAGCCCATTCTCATTGCCAGACTTTCAAAAACAAAGTTTCAACAATTTGAGTTCAAAAGATCTAATTGGCTTTTATTCACAATTCATGACCCAGGCAGCATCCAATACATACAAGCTCTGCTAAGCAGATTTATCAGGAACATGAAAATAACATAGTACAAAAATCAGATTGGTTAATATCAGATTAATTTTCTTGTATGAATTGAAGCAGGGGGAACATCTTTATCATGCCACATCAGGTTTACTGGGCCCTTTTGCTTGGTTTCAGAAAATGTTCTTTTTTTTTTTTTTTTTAACTTGTCTGTTTGGAAACTTGGCTCTCACCTCTTTCCTGATTTCTTGGAAGGTCAGAATTTTTAATTAAACTGCTTAGGTTTTATTTTGCTGATAAGGAACTTTAGCATTGACTCCATTTAAGGCCTACCATCTTTTTAAAACAATTATAATCATTATAATTATATTCTAACACTGAATTATTAAAATAAAAATTGAAAACTGTTTACATGGGTGGTGATTTTCAAATGGGACCTTCATTCTAGGGAGATTTCTGTGTGGTCTTTCTTTGGGTAAACCCAGGCATCTGTATCTTTATGTTTTGACAGGGAGGCAAAGCACAACTAGTTAAATACATGCCTTGAGTGTTAACTGGGGGAATTAAAACATTACATTTAATCTCTCTCTTTTGAGAAATGTCCTATAGGTTCCTGTCCAAAAGCACCCCCCCCATTTTTTTTTTTTTTTTTTTTTTGAGAAAGCAGGATTTATTAAGAGGACAGAAAAGCTCCCACAGTGGAAGGGGATCCAAAGGGGTTGCCCCCAAAGCCCTTTTTTGTAGTCACCAAATTCCTCAAAAAGAGGAGATGATTTGGATGGGAGTTCTGTTTCATTTCTGTTGCTGTTTTTAAACTGCTTTATTGAAATAGTGTATACTTTTCGTTTGGTCCATCTATTTGAAGTGTACAATTTCACGAATTTTAGTGTACTTACAGAGTTATACAACTAGTAGTGGCAACAACCTAATTTTAGAACATTTTCATTATCTTACAAGGGAAATTTGTACCTATTAGAAGTTAGTCCTAATTCTTTTCCCCTTACTTTCCTACTCTACAGGACATGTAACTACTAATATACTTTTTGATTATAGAAATTTTTTATTTTAGATATTGTATGTAAATAATATCATATAATAGTAGTATTTTATGACTCTACCTTTCATTTACCATGCTTTTTAGGTTTGTACACATTATAGCATGTATTAGTACTGCATTACTTTTTATTGTAAAACATCCTCTCACCATAGCACAATTTGTTTACTTGTTCATTTGTTGATGAACATTCCATTTTTTTTCACTTTTTGGCCATTATGAATAATGCTGCCATAAACATTTATGTACATGTTTTTTAAAATATTTAATTTTAAAGATGTAGGATGCAATTCTTGGTTAGGTTTACAAACGTTCATTATTCAAGTACCCTTGTTGATGAGGTGTGCCTCTCCCCCCTCTCCACCCCCGACAGTTTCCACATGTACAAGTTTTTGTGTGGACATATACTTTTACTTGTATTCCATAGATGTAAAAGATGAGAACTGTTGAATTATATGGTAACTCTGTTTTACATGTTCAGGGACTGACAAACTGTTCTCAAAAAAGTGGTTGCTTCATTTTATATTTCTACCAACACATATGAGTACCAATTTCTCCACATCCTCCCCAACACTTGGTGTTTTGTGTCTTGTATATCATAGTGATTCTAACGCATGTAAATTGGTTTTTCATTGTGGTTTTGGTTTGAATTTCCCTAATGCTTAAGGAGGTTGAGAATATTTGCATTTTCATATGATTCATTTGCATATCTTATTTGGAGAAATGTCTATTCACATGCTTTGCACAGGTTTTAATTGGGTTGCCTTTTATAGTTTAGTGGTAAGTGTTCCTTATATATTCTGGATATTAGACCCTTATCAGACATATGATTTACAAATATTTTAACCTACTCTGCTGATTGCCTTTCATTTTGTTGACAGTGTCATTTGAAACATAAAGTTTTACATTTTGAAATCTTATCAATCTTTGTCTATTTCATTTTCTTGACTTCTTCATTAAGTATCAATTGACTTATTTATGGATGCTCAATTCTATTTCATTTATCTATAAGAATAAGCTATTGCCAGTAGCACTTTTTCTTGATTACGATAGCTTTATAGTTAATTTTTAAATTGTAAGGTGTGAGTCCTCCAACTTTGTTCTTAACCAAAATTGTTTTGGACATTCTGAATTTTTATTTTCATATGCTCTCTTTCTGGCTCTTATCCTGTGAGCACTTGAGAAGAATGTATATTGTGCTGTTTTGCAGCTACTGATCGATAGTTTTTGTTTTAGTCTTCAATATCTGTGTTAATTTTTTTCTTCAGGTATTCTGTTATTGGAAGTTGTATACTTAAATCTTTAACCATTGTTGCTGAATTTTCTACTTTTCCCTTCAATTTTTATTTTTAAAAAATTTTGGGTGGCATATGGTTCTGTTCTTAGAAGCATGTATGTTTATACTTTTTATATCTTCCTAATAGACATCTCAGCTTATTGATGTCCACATGGTATATGTCATTTCAGTCCTTTGACTTTTACGTGATTTGTAGCTCTGAGAATGTTGTATGTCTCCTGTTGACACATTTAAATATTATTGTTCAAATCTAACTTTTTCTCTCAATAATTACTGTTGTCAATTTAATCCTAGTGAAATTATACCTTGTTTATAGTCTTTCCTATTTTTATATTTTTAATTTTCACACAGAATAGGTATCACTAACTTGTTTAATAATAAAATAATGTCATTTTATACCTCATATGTTAGCAATTTAAACAATTTCTTACTTCACTAAATTGAATTTTAAATGAAAGAATAACAATTATTTAACATTAAGCAATGTATATTTATATCTAAAATGTAATTATATTTTACAGTATAAACACATGGGTTCTGAAACAGCTGCTGTCACTCAAAAAATATTCCAGTTGATTGGATTGACAAATGCTGTAAGTGCTTGCTTCTTAGTACTTTATTACTTTTTGTATTACTAAAACAATTTGCATACCTGCTTATATAATGCTGCCTGAATACACATGTCGTACGATCAAAGGACAATTAAGTTTCAGTTTTCTTATCTGTAAAGTTGGACTAATAATTCCTTAGCTTAATTAGGTATATGCCTAGTTAAGTTAGTGTAAGAATTAAATTAAATAAAGCATTTAGCATGGAGCTTCCTTAAGTGTAAGCATTTTGTTTATTTGTCTTTTTTAAATATTTATTTTATTTTGTTTTAAAGATGTGGGGTACAATTCAGTGTTAGGTATACAAATGTTCATTATGCAGGTACCCTTGTTGGTGAGGTGTGCCCCTTCTTCCCCAGGCAGATTCCCACTACTGCCAATCCCTCTTCCCCACCCCACTCCCAGCAGTTTCCCACTACTGCCAATCCTTTTCTTACAGTATTATGGTAATTGTTCAAGGTCCACTTTTGAGTGAGAACATGTGATACTCAGCTCTTTGTTTCTGTGAAAGATCGCTCAGTATTATAGACTAAGTTCATCCAGTGCAAGCATTTTAAAATGTCAAGTATTACTTGCCTTACTAATACCATTTATTACCTATGAATATACTTTAAAAGATTCAATCCAGACTTACAGTTTAGTTGTTTAATATTTGTAATCAGCTTATTTTCATACATATATATCAAATCGATTTGAACTGTGATGTCTGAACATATTTTGTTTTCTATTTTAGATTTTTACTTCATTTAATATTACAATCATTCTATCATCCTTGGAATATTGGATAGATGAAAATAAAATTCTAACCACTGGAGATGCTAATGAATTATTACACAATTTTTTAAAATGGAAGAGATCTTATCTTGTTTTACGTCCTCATGATGTGGCATTTTTATTTGTGTAAGCATATGTGGGCATTACGAAAGCTTATATGAAGAAAATGTATCCAATTTGACCCAATTTCTGACAGGTGACAGGACTGAAGGGAAACAAAAACAAAATAACTTTTGTTGTTTTTTTTTCTTGACATACACCACGTAAATATTATTTTTCACACCACAGTATTTATATTAGACTTTATTTACTGGTTTAGTGTTAATACTCTTTCAAATTTGCTACCATATTTCTTCTTACTGTGGAGTGTATGCTACAATCCAAGTGTCTCTAATTATGCATAAAATATTGACAATATCTGAAAAAGCATATTTGTATTCTATAAATATAGTAATTTACCTTTCTTATGATTTGTTGTTATAAAATAAAAAAGAAAACAAATAAATGAAAACATCATTGTATATTTTAATACCTGTCACTTAATATAGCCACCTTGTGTGTGTTATGACTTTTAGTATATAAGCTTCTTTTTATATTTTATAGACTCTTTGTTCAGATTTGTGTGTGTATAAGTATTTATATATACCATATTATATAATAAAATTATAAAGACATAATTTTTAAATGTTAATCTTTTTTATCCTCTCTCTCATAATTTTGTTTGATTAAAGGAGATTTTAGTCTAACTTTTCCCATTGATAACTGCATTGCCTTAACTTTCTAATTTTGAGGGGTTTTATTTATTTTTATCATTTTATTTTGGGCAATTTTCTTATTTTGATGATTTTTAAATGTCATAAAATGAACCTCCATTATGTTATACAAATCCATGTGCAGTTACATTTTTTAAAAAAAATTTATTGTTTTCAAAAGAAGAACATTTAGTCACATTCTGTGTTATCTTACAGTAGTGTTGGGAGGAAATATTGATGAGCTTAATATAAACGGGCAAAACTAAAATGTGACATACTAATTCAGTATTAATTGTGCTTATCTTTACAATATATAATTATTATTTATTTTTAATTTAAGTTACAGAGAAAATTCAAACTACGTTGGTGCAATCTTTCAAGGGAAGATGTGTGATAGGAACTATGCAGGCGGTGTTGTTCTGGTATGGTAAGGTTTAATATGCTTGGCTAAAATTTATATAGAGAATGCTATGTAGATTAATGTGCAGTTAAAGATTTCCTAGTTTTATGTAATGCATATTAAAATTTGCATTATTTTAAAAATTATTTTTCCTGCTGCTGTAGACGTGAGAACACTGAACTCACTACATATAAAAGTTTTATAATTTTCTCTTAGGAGCTGAAGATATCCTTTTTTATGAAGTTAAGGTAGTGACTTAGTGTTATTTTAAAACATTGATAAATTTTTCATAGTCCTAATTTTTAATTTAAAACTTAGATATTGTACATTTTAAAAATTATGTAGCTAACCTAATTATGAACCAAGTTAAAATAAAACATTTGAAACTATCAGTCACCTTAAATTCATACAGCATAAGTAAAGAATAACAGAACTGGGTGCCCTAATTGACACTACTTACCTTAGTAGAAAATTTTAGTGTATTACAATCTGATGTTTTTTGCCACTGTATCATAATATTATCATTTTTCTGACAATTGAACTTTTTGTCTTAATTGGTGTATTTGTATAATTCTGCTGGAGTTTGAGAGACAATACAGGAGACTGTGGTTTCAAGTGAACAAGTAAAGTTAATTGAAGACACAAAGAATTGAATAAACTAAATGGAGCCAAAAATGTATTTTGTATTCATAGAACAAGTTTGGAAAATGTAGTTTATATATATTGGCAAGCAATTTACCTAATATCAAAAGCTAGAATTTGGTTGATTTACTTAAACTGCCACGTGCAACACTAAAAGCTCATCAGACTCTCATAGAGAGCAAGGTCTTCACTGATTAATGAAGAAAGCAGAACTTATTCTCTCTAGAGCCAGGCTAGCTTCCAAGAGAAAGGAAATGCCAGAGTTTACTGGGGAGTGTGGACTCCAGGGCAGACAAAAATGGTCTTTTTCAATGGGAGAAGCAATTGGAGAAAAGCTTTTCTAGTATTCTTTCTTATTCCCCATACTTATTTTGGGTAATCTTTGCCTTGTTTATTCCCTGGAAAAATCAGCAGTAGCCAGTGTCCACAAGAGTGAGATGTTGAAGAAAATAGTTGAAGTTCGCTCTGATAGTCAAATACCCTCTACCCTCTCTACTTAATCCTCTAGGACTGTAAATTGCAATTTGGGGACTGTATCTTTCTGGTATTGCTCTGTCCTAAATGTTGATATATGAAACCACAACTCAGGTAGTTTTTGGTTGAGTAGAAGCAAGTGAGAACAATCAGTATATAATTGTTTTATTTTAAAATATTTAACTGACGAACATTGTATATATTCAAAAGGTACAATGTTATGATTATGCATTAATTTTATTGCAATTACCACAATCAAATTAATTAACACATTCATCACCAGTCATAGTAACTTTGTGTGTGTGTGGGTGGGGTGCTGAGGATTCTTAAAATCTGCTTTCTTATCCAATTTCAAATAAACAATAGAGTATTATTAACCATAGTCATCATATTATTGATGTTATATCAATGCATTAGATCCCCAGGACTTATTATTCTTACAACTGAAAGTCTAAATACTTTGAGGAACAGTTTCCCAATCCCTACCCCCCAGCCTCTGGCAACTCTAGTTCTACACTCAGCTTGTATGAGTTTGACTTTTTCAAATTCCACAAATAACTGAAATCTCACACCATTTGTCTTTCTATTTCACTTAGCATAGCAGATGATTTTGGATGTCTGCAGCTGTTTGCCCTGAGGCTTTAACTTATCAGCTCACCTGTTGTTAAACTTGCAAAGACTGACACAAGTTAGGGCTTGGCCTCAAGGATTTTACACTGCATATTATCAGATATATTATCTGTTGACCTCACATATAGATATATATAGATAGAGTTATAGACATAAATGTAGATATAGATATGTAGATATATAAATATAGATTTGTTTTCATGGACTGAGCTATTTAGACGATGAAGGAAATTTTCCTCAGGAGAAAACACACTAAGCAATACACCACTTCAAGCAGAAGTACCGATATTTATAAACCAGGAACTTCAAACAAAATAAAGTGTAAGATAACATAGGAAAGGACTAGTTGGAAATATTAAGTGTGGACAATATAATAATTATAATAAATTATGTCAAAGATAGGATTGATACTTATAAAATATAAATTATCAAAATGGAAAAAATCTGAATTAGGACTCAGAAGACATCAGAAAAATTATAGGAAAGATATAAGAAAAATTTTTTAAATAATGGGAAATACTGTAGATGTGTATAACATTAAAATATAGTAGAAAATTTATCTTTTAATAGATAAATTGGAAATTTAGACAAATAGTACATTGTTACTAGAAACTCATAATTTACTAAAACTTACACAAGAAGAACTAGAAATCTGGAGTATCACCAAACAGTTGAAAATTTTTTTTATTATTTAAAAATTTTACAAAGGGCCGGGCTCGATGGCTCAGCCTGTAATCCCAGCGCTTTGGGAGGCCTAGGTGAGTGGATTGCTTGACTCCACAGGTTCAAGACACACCTGGGCAACTTGGTGAGACCTCATCTCTACAATAAATCAAAAATTAGCGGGCGTGGTAGCAGCTACTTGGAAGGCTAAGGTGGAAGGCTCTCCGGAGCCCAGCAGGTGAGGCTGTGGTGGCAGGGAGCGGCCATTGCACTCCAGTCTGGGCGACAGAGTGAGACTCCAACTTAAACAATAAAATACAATAAAATATTACAAAGGAGAAAAAACCCCAATATTTTTAGTGCCATACACTGCACAATTTTGAGAAGACCAGTTATTTCATTCTCATACATTTATAGAGAATAGAAAAAACATATTCCACAATCCTAGAGGCCAGAATAATAACAATGTTGACTGAGGCTGTTATACAAAAGGAAATTAGAGACCCGTTGAATCACAGTAATAGAGAAGGAAAGAAAAGGTGAGAATACTAACCAACTGAATCCTGCAGTCTATAAAGATAATTGCACATGACCAAGGTGATTCTATTCAAATAAAGAATGATCATTAAATCTTAGAAAAACTACTAACCTCTATTACTTAAATAATGTTATAATATTACTTATATTAGTGATATTTACAAACAAAAGATACATTAGAGAATATGTTAAAAATTGATGCGGTGTGGAGTAGACTATTTTAACTAGGATGGTCAGAGAAAGACTTTGAGGATGGGATATTGAAGGTGAGCCATGCATGGTGTGAGATAGATTACCATGACAAGGTCTACGAAATTAGATCCTGTGCGAAAGACCATTAAGTTTAAAAATTTTCAAATAGAGCTATTATGATCAGAAGGGTTGTGAAAACATTAAGATTGTAAAAGAGTAAGCAAGTCTAACTATGCGTGACCTTAAAAATCTGGTAAAGAGGTTTGGATTTTATTCTCATTACAATAAAAAGACACTGGAAGTTTTTAAACCTGAGAGAAACATTTATCTAATTGCTCTATGGAAAAGTCATAGTAGACAGGAAAGTATCAAAGCAAGACCAATTTCAAGTGAATGACATACATTTGTATTTTATTCTTGGAGAAGTAGATTTTATCTGGAATATGCTGCGACAATGGAACATCTAGGCCTTGCTAACTTACTGGATGGATAGCACACATGATGGAAAAACAATGGTTATGCCTAAACTCTGTTTTGAAAAACTATACAGAGAAAATGTGGCAGACTTTGGTCATGCAGGGAGAAATGGAAGGGTGGAAGATGAATTTTATTTTGAACCTGGACCTGCAAAGCTTGAGAACTACCTGTGATGATTAATTTTATGTGTCCATTTGGAGGATATTTTTAAATGAGATTAACACTGAAATAAGTGAACTTTAAGTAGATTGTTCTCTTATGATGTGGGTGGGCCTCATTCCATTAGTTGAAGGTCTGAATAGAACAAAAAGACTATCTTCCCTGAGAAGGAATTTCTCAAGAAGATTGCTTTTGCACTTCATCTACATCATCAAGGTTTTCTGGATCTACAGCCTGTTTGCCTTTAGAATGGAAGTGGACCCTCAGTTCCACTGGGTTTCCAGCCTGCTGGCCTGCACTGTGCATTTTGTACTTGCCAGTCTCCATAATCATTATCACATGAGCCAATCCTAATATAATATAAATCAATCTCTCTCTCTCTCTCTCCCACACACACACACACACACACACACACACACACACACACACACACACACACACATACACACGCTGCCTATAATTTTATTCTCTTGAAACCATGACAATACAGATTTTGGTGCCAAGAGTGGATATAGAATAATAGAATCTTAAGGATGAATCTTCTAGATTGATTCTGGGGCTTCTGGAATTGGCTCTCAAATATGATCAGATTTGAAGACACTAATAACTCTAATTCCAGTGATAAATAGAAGATTAATAATTCATGGCATAATTTAGCTATAGAGATATGCAAAATATCACCATTGCATATCCTAATAAAATACTCCTAATAAACAATTTTTAAGGAGCAAAGATCTGAGTAACAATGCATGCCATAATTTAAACTTATCATTAATTGTCGTCAAATTAACGAATATAATGATATTGACTGGTTGCTCCTGATGTCTCTGGACAACGTGGGAAAAGAAAATAATGAGCTCAGGAGTTCAAATTCCCATCTCAAGTGCCATATAAATGGCAGGAGCATTTCTGTCTTCCCTGAAAGAGACTTTATCTTATATAGCCACATGGCTGAGATTGCTAAAAACCAAACCCAGAATCTCATCTTGTGAATGACTAAATTACAACACAAATTGGATATCCAAGCTTGCAGAGTGTTTATTGTTAAAGTGAGGGCATTGGCTGGGAAGAAATGGGGTCCTGACAATTATAATGAGATTTATGGAATGACCATTATGAAACTGGGGATATTGTGTGCCTAAGTTTTGATGAGTCCTATACTAAAGAGCAGTAGAATATTAATGTAGAGTAGTTACCAAAACAAATAAATAATATGATGATAAATAAAGCAATATAAATAATATAAAATGATTGAGATCTTACAGACAATAATCTCTGGCTATTACCAATTTAAATTGTAACCAAATAATCACTTGAAAATCTCTAAAGTTTTGAATATAAAAAATGAGAAAATATAATTCATTTTGAGGTAAAAAACATTAAAACTGCAGCATTCCAAATTATGGGATTCCAAAAAGGCAGAGCTGAGAGCTCTATAAATGTTTCTTGAGTTATATTTATAATTTAATATATAAATTTAAATGATTTGAATGTAGATCATCTCATTCCATTTCCGAAAGGCATGTAGATGATGAGTTACGCTAGCAGACTCTAGAAAGTAGGAAATAATTTTAAAAAAAGACAACCTGTGAAATGCAAAATTTATGTACAATGAAGAAAATAATCAAAACCCAAATTATTTGAAGACAGGCAAATATATAACAACCAAGCAAAACTAATACCTTCAAAAAAGTAAAAACATCAAATTATCGAAATATTAATTGACAGAAAGGACTTAATCACCACAGATCCTACATATCTTAAATATATCAAAAAGATTAGTCTCAACTAATTAATGGCAATAAAAATGGATGATATTTTATGAATAATAAAATTTATCAAATGAGTAGAAAAGAAAACCTAAATAGCCATTGATCTTTTGGAGTCATTGAATCTGCAATGAAAACTTAAAAATGGCCAGGTGCAGCGGCTCAAGCCTGTAATCCCAGCACTTTAGGAGAATGAGGTGAGGGGATTGCCTGAGCCCACGGGTTCGAGAACAGCCTGGGCAACTTGGAGAGACCTCATCTCTACAATAAATAAAAAAATTAGATGGGTGTGTAGTTCTGGCTACTTGGAAGGCTGAGGTGGAAGGATTGCCTGAGCCCTTCAGGTCGATGCTGGGGTGGCCGTGAGTGTGCCACTGCACTGCAGCCTGGGTGACAGAGTGAGATTCCAACTCAGAGAAACCAAAATAACAAATAAACAAACAAAAAAATACCCAAACAAAGTTCTAGACCCAGGTGACCTCCTTAAAAATGGTTCAAAAATATTTAATACTAATAAGTTGTTTCAGGGATTATAAATAGAGGGGCTAATTCTCACCTTGTTTTATGATTTGAGAATTATGCTAAGTATATGGCTACCATACCCAGCTAATTTTTTATTTGTTATAGAGACAAGGTCTTGCCAAGTTGCCTGGGCTGGTCTCAAACCCGAGGGCTCAGGCAATCCACTTGCCTCAGCCTCCCAAAGTGTTGTGATTATAGGCTGAGCCACCAAGCCTGGCCTATTTTTGTATTTATTAATCATCCACACTTTATCCTCCTTTCCTCAATATCCTTCTCAACCTCTAGTTACCATCATTTTATAAATTAACATAACCTGTTTATAACTTGACACTACATGTGTCTATATGTTTGTCTTTCAAGATTGTCTTTTCTCAATACAAATATATCAACACAACTGTTGTAAACAGGTTGTAACTTGTCATTAACAAGTTCCTGGAGCAAAGTTTTCCTTAGTCTGATGCCATCAAAGGAGTCATCCATTACATTTTAGTAAAATTTCAGATTTTATTTTTTATAATTTTAGTATATTTAAAATGATACCTGTAACATATGAGTTAGGCCGACATGGATGGTGCTTCTGTGGATAACAGAGTAGATGTTATTCCATTTTATCATGTGACATATAGTAATAACAATATTCTTTCACTAAACTGAATACCTCCCAAGTCTTGTGCATGTACATTTATTTTGTTTTTTCCAGCACCCAAGAACCATAAGTCTGGAATCGCTTTCAGTAATTTTAGCTCAATTACTAAGCCTTAGTATGGGAATCCCTTACGATGATATTAACAAATGCCAGTGCTCAGGAGCTGTCTGCATAATGAACCCAGAAGCAATGTAAGATGCTTGACTTTTATACTTTACATATATAGTTTATTTTAAGATACCTTAGATATATTTAGTAAGAAAGTTTAAGCTGTTAAAGTAAATAATAATGGCTGGATATTGACTGTCACCAATGACCTCAGGCCAAAATATATATCCCAATGCCCATGATGCTTATCTATTTCAGTATCTCTTGTAATATATGTCATATCTACTTTCTCATATGTAATCTTACATTTATCACTATGTTTACTTGTATACTTTTATAATTTGATACATGATATGATAAGCCAAATAGGCTTGGTTGAGATCACTACACAAGAATGATTTATTAGTAATAACTGGTCTCCATGGATCTCCAGGGATTCTACTCCGACTCAGCCTGAAATCGTGGCAACTATTGATTTCAGATTTGCCACCACTCAGCTTTTTCTTGGTCTTGAAATAAGGTCTTTTGCAGTATCCTTATCAGGCCTCAAAGACTTAGTGAATTTGCTTGCTGTTATTATCATTATTCTCAAAGTACATTATGCAATTTTATTGAAATGGGACCAAATAACAAAATAATTTAGAAAAACTATCCAGTCAGTGATTGGAACCAGCCTCTTATCTTGTCATTGGACAACTATTGGCAATAATCTCTGCTTCTCAAATGTCTTAGAGAATCAAGTCCTATGAGCAAATCTCTCATTTTTTTCATTCCTTCACTCCTGCTGCCACAATCACTTCCTAAAAATATTTGTATTCCAGTTCTTATCTCAGGCTCTGATTTGGGGGATAACTCATACTAAAATATTTATCCCAAAGTGATTATAAAAAACAAACCTTTATGAAATGATTGTGGACCCCATATCAATAAGTGATCTGATACCCTTGGCAGAAGGGAATGTTAAGATTGCACTGCAGTAGATCAAGGCTATGATGCAAGATGCTGTGTTCTTTGGTTCTTGTGATCACTAAAATATAATGACTCTAAAAATATTCCTGGTAGATTAGGTATACCTCATAGATTAGGTACATGTGGAATCTCTGGTAAGTATCTGTAAGAGAATTGCAGTGTAGACATACTATTCTGTTGTGGCTTCTCGTGGACTTCTGGGCTCTTGCAGACTTGAGTATCCAGGAAATAATAAGTTGCTATGTTGCTGAAGTTGACCATGTTCATAATAACTGGGGGATTTTCAGATCTACAGAAATGTAAGATCAAGCCAACATATCAATCTATCTAATGACCAAAGTGGTATATCTGGGAAGAGGTAAAAGATATTATAGCAGATCCAGACAGTGCAAGTAAATAACAGAAAACAGGGCTTTTTTTTCTAGATTTTTAATGTGAAAATTCAAATAATTGTTTTTAAACCTTTTTTCTTTTTGTTTAAGCACTTTAAAGCTATGCATTTCTGTCTAGCCATAGCTTCAATTACACATTTCACATTCTTGATATTTTGTGTTTCATTTTCTGTTTGTTGAAATATTTTCTTTCTTTATTTTTTTAAGATGTGTGGTACAATTCAGGATTAGGTATAATGCAAACGTTGATTATGCAGGTACCCTTGTTGATGAGGTGTGTCCCTCTTTCCCCTAGCAATTTCCCTCAACTGCCAATCTCACCTCCCCTACCCTGACAGTTTCCCACTACTGTCAAACCTTTTCTTATAGTATTATGATAATTGTTCAAGGTCCACTTATGAGTGAGAACATGTGGTACTCTGCTCTTTGTTTCTGTGATAGATCACTGAGTATGATCGACTCTAAATCCATCCACTTTCTGCGAAATCCATGTGTTTGTCTTTCTTTGTGGTTGCATAATATTCCATTGTGTATATGTACCACATTTTAAAAATTCAGTCCAGTTTCGATGGGCAGCATGGTTAGTTCCATGTTTTTGCTATTGTGAATAGAGCTGCAACAAACATACGTGTGCAGGTATCTTTTTTTGGAGAATGATTTGAGTTCCTCCAGGTATATTCCCAATAGGAGGATTGCTGGGTCATGTGGAAGGTCAATTTCTAGTTCTTTCAGAAATCTCTACACTGTCTTCCAAAGAGGTTGCACTAGTTTGCATTCCCACCAGCAGTGTAGAAGTGTTCCTTTTTCTCCGCATCCTCACCAGCATCTGTTGTTGTGTGTTTTATTAATGATGGTCATTCCTACTGGGGATAGGTGGTATCCCGTTGTGGTTTTGATTTACATTTCTCTGATGATTAGTGAGGCTGAGCACATCATAGATGTTAGGCTTTGTCAGATATACAGTTGGCAATTTTTTTTTTCATTCTGTGGGCTGTCTCCCTGCTTTCTTGATGATTTCTTTTGCTTTGCAGAAGCTAGTCAGTTTGACGAGGTGTCCCACATGTGTATCTGATTTCTTATGATATTGGTACTCAGGGTTCTGATCCAGAATTGGTTGCCAGTTCCAATCTCCATAAGTATCTTCTGTGTTTTCTAAGATTCTTATAGTTTGAGGTTTTATGTTTAGGTCTGTGATCCATTTAGAGTTAATTTTTGTGTATGGTGATAGGTAGGGGTCCTGTTTCAATCTTCTGCATGTGATCAGTTAATTTTCCCAGCACCATTTACTGAATAGATTCTCCTCTCCCCAGTGGTTGTTGTTGGAAGCTTTGTCAAAGATGAGTTGGTTGAGAAATTGAGGCTTTTCTTCTGGAATCTCTGTCCTGTTCCATTGGTCTATATGCCTGTTCTTGTACCAATACCAGGCTGTTTTGATTACTATAGCGTTATAGTAAAGTTTGACGTCTGGAAGTATGATTCCTCCTGCTTTGTTTCTTTTGCTGAGGATTGTTTTGGCTATTAGTGGTCGTTTATGCTTCCATATGAATTTCTGTATTGTCATTTCCAGGTCTGGGAGGAATAGTTGAAATATTTTCAAATTTTCTTTGTGATTATTTTTTTGCTAGCTATTTTAGAAGTATATCAGTTGATTTTCAAATATTTGTGGATTTCCTGAATAAATTGTTACCTGATTTAATATCTGTTGTGGTCCAATAATATACTTTTTAGATGTCCATCTTTTAAGCCATGAAACTTATTGAATAACAGTATTTATTTTTATGTTATTTTGTTTTTCATTTTTAATCAATCTCTCCATGATGTACAAGTACATACTTCACAACGAAATGTGAGAGTATATGTTCAGTTGCTGCTTTTGTTTTTAGTTAGTAATTAAGATGCCTGGAATAATTTCTTTAAAATTATATTTTCATACAAGTTTTATTAATTTTCTATCTAATGGATATTGCTTCTTTAAAAATGAATTAAATGTTATGTGCATGTTTTGTTTAGGAAGATTAAAAAAAAATTTCTACCTCACTGTAATGAGAACATTGCATTATTTTGTCAGTGCTTTGCATTTTTGTGGCAAAGAAATAAATGTTTAAAATTATGAAATATGATTAACAAAGAAATATACTGATTGAGAAGTGTGTTTATTGGGACAAATTTTTATTTAGATTTTGCTGCAAGTTAGAGAAAACCCAAAGGAATAATAGCATAAAATGAAGAAATTTTGTATTTTCTTGAGGAATCATCACTCTATTTATTGTGTGGCATTTCTCTAACAATTTTATGCCACATTTCTACACAGGGCTCCCGACTCCCAAATCACCTCATAGTTTTGATGGAAATTCTAAATATAACCAAAGCTATAGTCACCAATAGGACAAAGGAACATATAAAAACATGGTTATCTTGTTAATTTTGGAACTTGAACTTATGGCTCACATTAGACCACTTATCTGAGTTTTATATGTGTTCACTCTAAACTTTATAAAAAACTAAGAAATTTAGGCATTATACAAGGAAGTCATGTATTCAGCTAAAATTCAGAAACTCTATTATCAAGAAAAAGTTAGAGGATAGAGAATGGAAACATCCTGAAAATCTGCGTGAAGATTCAAACTGCAAGTAAATATTCAATTGGATGTAATAAATGATTGACATTTTACTTTCTAATGACAATATTAATTTCATTACCAGAAAGTGTATATCCTATAACCTGAACTGTTTTTTTTTACACATGGTGAACATTATCTTGTATTACCTGGTTCTCAGTAACATTAAAGTTCTGTCACTTTTTCTCTTTGGTTTCTGATAGTTAGATATTAATTATTTGAGTTGTTGGCAATGAGGTGATTTGGGGAATGAAAGACACTGTGTAGAAATGTGGTGTAAAATTATCCGAGAAATGCCACACAATTAATAGATTGATGCTTTCTCAGATCTCTATATAATAGATCTGTCATGAAATTCTGTCAAATCTATATATAATTGGTGCATTACATGTATTATACTCTCACAATTCTATGAGATAAATCATGCTTTTATCTTCATATTGCAAAGAGGAAACTGAATTATACATAATTTAAATACCTTTACAGGGAATACAACTTGTAAATGGCTTAACCAAGATCTAAACCCATGTGGTTTGACTGACCACGGGGTCCATATTTTAAAACTTTATGTTACACTTTGTGAGGGGTAAGTTTTGGGCAAGAGGAATTAAGACTAGTTTAGGGAATTTAAGAGTTAGGTGCCTATGAGATAGGTTTAAGAAGAAACACTGAATAAAGCATTGAATATTGGACTATCAAGTTTAGGTGATAAGTTTGAATTGGAGCAACAAATATTGAAGTCATCAGGCACAAGTACTATTTGAAACTATAGAACTAGATAACATTGTCTATAAATAAATATAGACAAAGAAAGGAAGAGCATGGTTTCATTTGTTAATACAAGGGTGTTCCAATGTTTAGAAGTCGTAAAAGAGAAAGAAAGCAACAAATGAACCAGAAATAGAAACTTTGGAAGGTCAAAGCTAAAATAAGAGAGAGCAGTTTCACAAATAAGTGTTATCTAAGAGCCAATAAAGCTTTATGGTTTAGTAACTTATTTCTACTAAAATATTTAAATTAAGCCGGGCTCGGTGGCTCAGCCTGTAATCCCGCGCCTTTGGGAGGCTGAGGTGAGTGGATTGCCTGAGCCTGCGGGTTCGAGACCTGCCTGGGCTGCGAGACCTCATTGCTACAATAAATCAAAAAATCAGCCAGGCATGGTAGCACAAGCCTGTAATTCTGGCTACTTGGAAGGCTGAGGTGGAAGGATCGCCGGAGCCCAGCAGGTTGAGGTGACAGAGTGAGACTACAACTCAAAAAAAAAAAAAAATTTAAATTTTTGCACAACTGATTTTCCATGCACAGAAAATGAATGTTTTGACACTTGCAAAACTGAGTATTTGGTCTGTCGTGAAATGCTATTAAATAACTATATTCTAAAGGTAGGCAGTTTGCAGACACTCTTACACAAAAATTTGAAGTTTGATGTATTTTTAGTCATTTCAGTGGTGTGAAGCTCTTTAGTAACTGCAGCGTGGAAGACTTTGTACACTTTATTTCAAAGCAGACGTCCCAGTGTCTTCAAAATCAGCCTCGCTTAGATCCACATTACAAACAACAGAAAGCACAGTGTGGTAATAACGTGGTGGAAGAAGGTGAAGACTGTGACTGTGGTTCTGCAGAGGTTGGTACTCATTTGGAAGAATATGCACTGGAATTGCATCAAATATTATTCATAGTGTGACACTTCTATTTTCCTTAATTTATCAAAGTATTTTTTTCTGCAAAGGCCTTAGGAAGGCACATAGGGTTTGTAGCAAACTGACGAATGCATTTATGTGTATGGATTCATGATTTGTAGATCTACATGGATTTTTATGGATATACAGGTAATGTTACTTTTTATTCTAGTTTCATTGAAGCATAGTTGACAATTAAATATATTTAAGTTGCACAATTGATGATTTGAGAAGAGTATACATTGTGAAATACCCATCATCATTAAGCTAATTAACACATTTGTCACCTCACATAGCATTTTATTTCTTTTTTCTTTCTCTTCGTTTACTTTCTTTGTTATTTCTTTTCCTTTTTATCTTTCTCCTGTGAACATTTAAAATCTGCCTTGCAGCCATTGCCAGGTCATCACCGCCATTGCCTTGCTCTGGTGTGGCCATGTGCTCTCTGAGCTATGACTGTCACCATGCTTCCTGTCTTTGGCCCTCTTCCCTACCTTGGGAAGGTGAATCTCCTCTTTCTTTCTCTCTCTCTAATGTACTTTTTAAATAAACTATATTTTCTACAAAAAATTTTAAATCTCCCTTTTTAGCAAATTTCAAGTACACAACACAATCCTGTTAGCTATAGTCTATTGTAGCACAGTCGATCTCCAGAACTTATTCATCTTACAGAACTGAAACTTCATACCCCTTAATAATCATACCCCTCCCCACAGACCCTGATAACCACCATTGTAATCTCTCATAAAAGTAAATTTTAAGGCCACTGATCCTATAACTAAGTTGATACAAGTTTACTTTCTTCCTCTTGAGTGTGTCTGTTCCTAGTATTTAAATCTAAAATTTAAACTTATTATTTAACCAAAATTCCTATGCTATTCAGAGAGATAGAAATAAAGCTTTCATTATGGGACAAAAAAACATAGGAGGCACATTTTTTTAAAGATATTTTAATCCAGGTCACTATTTAAGTAAAAAAAGTTTTGAATTAACCTGGTGTGGTGGCTCATGACTATAATCCCAGCACTTGGAAGACTGAGGCAAGAGAATTGCTTAAGCCCAGGAGTTCGACACTGGCTAGGACAACACAGTGAGATCACATCTCTACTAACTAAATGAATAAATGAATGAATAAATAACTAAGTAGCCAGACGTGGTGGTGTGTGCCTGTAGTCCCAACTACTTGGGAGGCTGAGGTGGCAGAATCACCCTGAACCCTGAAAGTCAATGCTGCAGTGAGTCATGATGGTACTGTTGCCCCCCAGCCTGAGTGAGAGTGAGACCTCAACTAAATAAATAAATAAATAAATAAATAAATAAATAAATAAATAAATAAAATATTTGGAACATATATGATCAAAGCTAGTTTTTCAAACTCAGAACTCTTAGATAAAGTGGCTGGATTGCACGAGGGTGGGGAGGTAGAGCTAAAGAATGAAATGAGGGAGAAAATATATTGTGATTCATGGTGAGTAACACAGACCTAGAAAATCAAGATGTGATTACTGCAATGCCTGAGGTCACTCATGAGTACCCTCACCAACATGAAAAGAATGTTTCTAAATATTGATAAGTGTGATCTTGTTTTTAAAATTTATTTCCATCACCCACTTGTTTGGCTTGGTTGGATTTGAATGGGAACATCTTGAAAATGTCCACTAAAATTTGACAGTGATTTGTCTAAACTCCGTTGTGTTAAATATTTGTCTTAAACCACTGTGATGAGACTTTCCCCTCTATAGTTCCATATAGATAGAAATAGCAATGACATTTATTGGACAGAATTAGCTGTGAAAAGTACTGAAAATTCTGTGTTGTAGTATCTTGCTATAACTCATAGTAAGACTTCTGAAACCCCTGATTTATTTTTGCCAACTTATTGAAAAATTTTCCCCAATTAATCCTACCTCAAAGTCTTGGGAATTTATAGAATGCGGGTGTGTGTGTGTGTGTGTGTGTGTGTGTGTGTGTGTGTGTGTGTGTGTGTGTGTGATGGTATTATCTTTCTAGTCTTCTCCTTCCTTATCTGTTGCTTTTATTATTTCTATTAATAGAATGTTTTAAAGAAGATAAACAATAGCATAATACAGGGCGGATTAAGATGTGGGCAAATGATATAAAGGTGACAACTCTAGTCATTGTCAGAAATAATGCCATTTTCAGATATTTATTAGATAATTGAAAATGAAATAAACCCATAATATCCCATAACTTTTGGAGACTTATTAAAATATAGTAGATTCAGAAGGATCCGGTAATAAGCAGTCACGACAATAAAATTTGTAAATTATGGCTTCTGTTTATTTTATGGCTTGTATTTAACTCTCTCTTTGTCCGTTAAAGTCAGAGATCTCAATGTCTTGATTATGATGCATCCTAGGCCTTAGATGATCCTACTGCTAGTATAGCCAAATCTATTCTAGTAGTATAAAAAACATATCGTCTAGCATTTAATAAGTAGTAAATAAATATCTGTTAAGTAAATGAATGAATAAATGGCTTTATTTTTTCTGTTTGCCAACATGTACATATGTTGTCATCAAGAAACTGTCTGTCCAGTGTAAACAAAAGATGGAGGATACTTCCAAGTATTTGATTTGTCTTTCAGGAGTGTGCTGCTAGAGTGCCAAAATGCTGTGAAGCCACTACATGTAAATTAACGGCTGGTTCAAACTGTGCTGCAGGACCATGCTGTGAAAATTGTAAAGTAAGAACTTCAAAAAAAAAGTTCTATTGTTTACATAAGTAAAGTTATTGTTCTTTATAATGCTTATATACATATTTACCTTCTGCTCTATTCAATATCATTTACCTCACCCCAACAGTATAGGTCAAAAGAATATGTTTGTAGGTGGTCTACTGATGAATGTGATCTCTCTGAATTTTGCAATGGATCATCTGCAGCATGTCAGGAAGACTTATTTGTTCAGAATGGGCACCGATGTGCCGAAAATAATTGGCTCTGCATTGATGGAAGATGTTTACATGGGGATAAACAATGTAGACAAGTATTTGGCTCAGGTACTTATTAGAATTTGATTTTTCTGGAAACTGAAAAAATAGATTTTGTTATATTATTGTACCTTTAAAATAATGTGACTTTTGTAAATATTTTAAAGAACTATAGAAAGAAAAGAGGAAAACTGCAAAGGAAAACATACAAGCACCCTCAAATAAAATTAATTTAATTAAAATAAAAATTATTATTTTTTTGAGGTATTTCAACAAAATAATGGGAAATGCTCACCGTCCATGGGACTTGTGAGTTCGAGAAGGAAGAAGCTAGATTGACTGCAAGCTAAACTTTCTTCTCATTTCATAGCCACTGTTTTTCAATAAAGATCGAATAATTAAATAGGACTATAGGTGGCTTTTCTTCTTTGGAAAACTTGCCCATGGCAGGTCTTTCTGCCATGAATCTTTCTTCTTCCTTCTTTTTTTTCTAGCTAATAAACTTTGTGTGAAAACTTTTTAAAAATATGACTATAGACATTAAAAGGATCGTACTGCAATGCATTATAGGGTAGCAGTGACTATAATGGCTGGTTTGCCAACCAGTGGGGTGGAATTAGAAATTCATTAAAATTTAGACAAAAGAAAGTAAATAGCAGTGAATCTCTATTGGCTTTGACATAGTTAAAGGGACTGTTACTTTTCTTTGTGTGACTAAGAAAAAGAAAGACCAGTAGGAATAGAAGAAACATTCCCTTTTGGAACTTGAGTAGTGTGAAAATCTATTATTAATAAAATGGACAACTTCTTTCTTTTAAAAAAAGGATCATAAATATAAGTTGTCATGTGAATACAATTTAAACCACACATGTGGGTACCGACCACTGTGATACAACTTTCACCTCTAGAATTCCATATAGATAGCAACTTCAATGGTATTTAAATGACAGAATAGCTGTGAAAAATACTGAAAATTCTGCATCCAAACACATGCATAGATTCACATGTGAAAACTATAGTGAAGTCTCATAAAAATCCTAGAGTGGATGCATGAAAATTCAGGGAGTATGAAATTATTGAAAGATGGTGTTCACTGAAGTTGCAAACAGTTACAGCAAAAACATGGTACAAACTGTATATGGAATTGTTAGCTGAAGAATATATAAACAGCAATAATGACAACAGTATTTCAAGTCTATATCTGAAGAATTAGGAACAATTTACAAAGGAAATAATTAGGATATTCATAGAAACAGTCAGGTGGGACGACTTTTCTCTACTGAAGTAACCGGCATGTCTAACTTTAATCTCTATGTAAAAAGGGGTTGTAAAATAATTTCAGTCCCCGAGATGAACATACAGATGCAAATAAAGAAGCTTACAAAATGGAAAAATGTTGTCCTGGGAAAGTGGATAATTTGAAATCCTAAGGAGAATAATTTGCAGATGAAAGAAAAAAGAGAAAAAAGAGAAAGGGAGAAAGACAAAGAGGTTTTTTATTACTGATTTAAGGTCTTCACTTGGCAATTGGTTTGTGCAGATTTCCTATTTTTTTCACAATTTACTCTTCATAGGTTGTTTGTGTCCAAGACTTTATCTGTATCTTCTATGTTATCAAATTTGTTGGCATATAACTTTTCATAAGATTATTTTATAAGCCTTACATTTTTGTGGTATCAATTATGTTTCCTTTTTCATTTCTGATTTTATTTGGATCATCTGTCTTTTATTATTTAGTTTAGCTAAGGTTTGCTACTCTTGTTTCTCTTTTCAAAAAGCTAAGTCTTCATTTTTTGATATTTTGAATTGTTCTTTTAGTCTGTAGCTTATTTTTGTTCTAAGATTTATTATTTCGGGGAGGGAGGAAGAGAGGAAAGTAGAGAAAGAGAGACAACAAAGTAAGAAAAGAAGATCTTGATTTAACAGGTATACTGGTTAAAATGAAAAATAAATTACCATATTGGCTAATCATTGACAAAGTAGAATGTCAGTTTAAACTGGCAGATAGAATTGAGAAATTTTGCCCTAATGCTAAAAATATAGATACAAAATAGGAAAGTATATAAAAGGCTGTATTTGAACTCATTTAATTTTCTTTCTAAATTTATTCCTATAAAAATTGGTCATGAATTATGTAAAAAAAGATTTAAACCATAAGCATAAATAATGTAATAAGAGAGAAGATTAGTAAAATTTTTGTTGGGATACATATATATTTGTATGTATAGATATTGAATGTATGTATATTTGCATGTATATATTTAAGTATATTTAATTTATAAAGAATAAGATGAATTACATTAGTTATATGCCAAAAAATATAAGTTAACCTCTAGATGAATAAAAAATAGAAAATTATAGTTTTCTTAGGGAGAAAAAAACTGAAACAAAATTTGGTGATTCTAGAAAAATGTAGCAGAGAGAGAGAGTTAGAAAACAAACATTACATGAAACTATAGGGTTATTCTAAGATAAATGCAGAAAAATACATGTAAATGTATTTAGGTTAGACACTATGTAAGGATTTTTTGTAGCTTAGCTGGTCAATAAACAGAAACATTCGAGAAGCATCAAATCTGTACACACAGAGTTACTTCTAAACCTAGATGATTTTCTACTTACTTTCAAAATACCACTAAAATAGATGCTTATTTTCATGAATTATATTTCAAAAGCATGAATAAAGATTAGAAGTAATCAAATAATTTCTTAATGTTATCATAATTCTAATAACCAAAAGGTTCGAGAGAATAATATAGCAAAATTTTTTATCAGTTTTATCTTATAAAAATCGAGGAAATAATAAAGCCACTAAAACTTGTATAAATTGGATCAAACTGTTCTTAAGTAATGAATCATGACCAGTCATCAGTAATTTAACAAATCTGTCTTTGTAAAGATTTAAACAAAGTAGACACTGATAAATTTTGGAAACTGTCATATTATTTAAACTGCATATTAGAAATTTTCACTGGCTTTCATGTTTAGAGTAAGAGAATTTGGTAAATATCCAAAATCATCTATCAGTTAGTAGCTCTAATATAGCTTACTTAAAAAGTTAGATTTATGCCAGGATTGTAAACCTGGTAACTTATTAACAAATCAGTGAAGTGTAATATGAATAACATGAACTGTCTTACTCAAGGCAAAATAACATTTGATACATTTTTAAATGTCCCCCTTCCAACATAGACTATGGAGAAACTTTAAATATGTGTTCGTTAACATCAAGAGGATGATGAGGGTTTCCTCACAATATTAGGTTCCTAGCCTCTAATATAAGCATAAATAATATTGATCTTAGTTATAGAATTCCAATTACAGCCAAAGACAGATGTGAAGAAATAAAATTAATAGGAGTGAAGATATGGAAAAACCAATAGAATTAACAAATCATTAGAACTAATAAGCTTGCAGGTTTTCTAGATATAATTGCAATTGGTAAATATCAATATTATTTCACTACAGTGGTAAAAAGCCCATTAAACTGTAATAGGAGACAGTTACTTTAGCAACAAAAATCTATTAAAATATTAATTTAACATTATGAAAACATTTTAAAGAAAACATTATAAATGTCAGATAATAGGCATAAAAGTTATCCAAAATACTTAAGAAATATATTGAATTCATGAATGAAAAGAATTTCCACCAAATTAATTTATAACAATCAAATGAAAATTTCATCAGGATATATTGAGGAACTTAACCAGATAACCTAATATATACACAAAGTTGGAGGACTTCTCTTACTGGACAATAATCATAATAAAATGGTTTATTAATACAACTAGCAAGTATACTAATGCTATGTTCTGAATGATTATGTTCCCCAAAATTCATATGTTGAAATCTTAACCCCCAGTGTGAGGGTGTTAGAAGGAGGGATTGCTTACTTCATGAGGGTGGAGCCATCATGAATGGGATGTTGAGTGCTCTTAGAAGAGGCCCAGGAGAGATCCTTAACCCTTTCTTCCATGTGAGTTACAACAAAAAGATCACCCTCTACAAGGAAGTGGGCCTCACCTGACACATAATCTGCTTGATCCTTTATCTTGGGCTTCCAGTGAAAAATAAATTTCAGTTGTTTATAAGCCACCCAGTCTACGGTATTTTTGTTATAGCAGCCCAAATGGAATAAGACAGCAAAATAGATTAGGAAAATATATGAACAGAATGGAAAAGAAGATAAAAAACTGATATATTCGTAAAAGAACTCGATATAGATATCACAGTTGTGAAACCACAAAATAATAGACTGGGGCAGGCTTAAAAAAATGAAAATGACATATAAATAAAGTTAAGCCTTGATGCCATTTAACACACAGTGGTATAACTTAGAAGCTAAAATAGGTAATTCAGTAAAACAGTAAATGATGTGATTTCTTCAAAAGTTAGGACTTCTGTTACATATGGAGAACACTGTATAATAACTTTTAGAGAAAAGAATAACTAGGGAGAAGATACTTGTAAAGTCTAAAAAGCAGAATAATTTCTATAATATATAAATGCTATAACAAATAGGAATTTCAATAAAAAGGGAATCAATCGTATAGGGAGGCAATTCACATAGTGTGACATTTAAATATCTGGCCAGTATTTGGAGTTGTATTAAGCTTTATTTATCATCAAAATGCTGCAAATTAAGCACGAAAGAAAATTCAATGCATTAGTTACAGCCTAGAGAATATCATACAGAAGTTTTCATTAACCACTCAGGCATATGCAAATAACATTGCAAGAATTATTTAAATAATGATGGTAAAAATAGCATTGAGAGTAAAACTTATAAAAATATATTGTATAATAATATCCTGTATGTGAATTTTAAAAATAGTATACACCTGCAAGAAAATGCTGCAAAAGTTCTAAGAATTTGAATGACAATCTCCAGGAAAGACCATGTATAAATGGGAATATGGGAGGAAGAGAATAAATTTTTCAAAATTAAAAAAAATTTCTAAGTTTTTTTCTCTTTATTTTATTATTGAGATGTGGAGTACAAGTCAGGATTAGGTACATCAGTTGTCTGTGTGCAGGTGAAGTTTGAACCTCTGACTGGTCCTCAC